CATGCATACAGTAAAATCAACAGCAGCGCTGTCACAACTGGTAATTAAATGATGAAACACAAGCCTCTATTGTTTTTCCTTTGATATCATAGACTATTTATAAAAAGGATAATATGCAGAAATGTCCCAACAGAAAATAGTAGAGCTAGTTATGACAAAGGTAGAAAGAATGTCACACATGTAGATGTGTGTTACACAACCCTCTTGATGAAAAACATACTTTTTTCAATGACGTATTAGGTTGTGTTCATCTGTCGGGCTACTGAGGTTATAGGCTACAGCCGAAATTACTTTGAGCCACTGGGAGAAATAACTTACCTTAATAACCCCATAATCTACTGTAGCTGTGTAGTGCACAACCTAACAGGTCTCATCCAGATTTTAAATTGGATATAAAGTTTAAAATATAAAACACTAATTTTGGTGCAAGAAATTACACAAACATTTCATGGCCTCACAGCATCAGAGCCTCATACATTGTTATAGAGCAAATTGGGGTGACCTTGCACATTTTAAGGTTTTAAGGCTCTCTTTGGTTTCTAACTTAAGATGAGAGTGCTGCATGTTCACAAATATGGACCATCCTCAAAGGATCTGGTGCAGAAAAATAACTAAAATTTTAAATGTGTGCACCAGCAGGAGCTGGAGGCAGATTGTTTTTGGGTTGTTTGTCCATACATACATATGACCGTCTGCCCATTCTCATGGAAACAATATCTCAGTAAAACCTTGAAGGAACTTCTTCAAATTTGGCTCGAACATTCACTTGGACTCAAGGATGAACTGATAAGATTTTGGTAGTCAAAGGTCAAAATCGTGGTGACCTCACAAAACACGGTTTTGGCCTTGTATATGTGATATCTCCATAATGCCCTGAGGGATATATATATACATACATATATATATATATAATATATATATATATATATACTGTATATATATATACATATGTTCCCCTATATTTTTCCAATATTGAAGGGTTCAAACTACTTAACGTGGGCATATAGCTCTTAATTTAAACATATATGCAAGTTGTCCTATTTTTGTAATTGTAGTGTTTTAAAAGCATTTATATACTTTATTTACCAGTGTCTGTTAGGTATCTTTTCAGTAGCAGTTCTTGATGCTACTGAACTTTTAGTTCAGATCTTGTTGTTGTATCAAATACCACATTCCCTGTTTTATTTGCAAATCTTGTTCTTTCCCACAAACATTTCAATTATCACTAAATATTAAGAAACAAATTTCATTATATTTGCTGGGAGGATAAAGTATAAGAAAGAGGAAGCCAAGCTCTTTATTGAGGGCAAAGTAATTGATAGCATCCACTCAATTTTCTGAAGTTAGAATTGATGAAAAAGAACAAATTGTGTGTGTAAAAAAGTAATACAATTTATTCTGTCACTTTTTTTGATTTACATCTTTACATTGAGGGAAGGTTTTAACATAAGCCCTTGACGGTGTTCTTACCTCATCTACACATCCACTTCATAAGGAAAAAAATAAAAATAAAATGTATTTGTAATATTTTGTGTGCAAATCAAATCAAGAAGTGACTACAGTGACCAGAATAAGTCAATAATAAAACATACACCTCCATTATTTTTCCTTTTATAACACACAAAGACATCTCATCAAAAAAAAAAGAATGTCACCATTAAGGATGTACGTTATGTGTGACACGCAACCCACCTGGTGAAGACGTACACTTTATTTTCAGTGACTTATTGTTGAGGTATAATTAGAGTGACTGTGGCATCATTCCAACAACAACAGGTGTGGCTTAAAACATAACAAAGTCACTTAGCCTAATATTGACATTTAATACTTGGTCTGCCAGTGAGTCCGCAGTTGTTCATTCAACTTTGTCTTCATTTTGTGTTTGAGGTATCTTATAAAAGTGTACACTATTTAGTTGTATAGGCCTAAACCATAAAATGGTAATACTCAACTAAGCACCTTAAGCACATCAAACACCTGAATTCAGGCTAAATAGTTTGTTGTTTTATGAGATTGTTTTTATGAGTTTTAATAATGGAAAACGAACTGAGTTCATTTTATTTGAGAAAACAAGTTCAATAAAATTAAGATATTTACCTGAATCGCCTGTTTAGTCACAAAGATATTTTACATTTACTCAGTTTAAAGAATCAGTTTTTCTTGTCATGAAAACCTTGTTGCTGTAGAGTCAGGACAAAGAAAACATGTGAGGCTGCTCCCACTGACTGAGTTAAATACTAAGTGTACAGGGTGTAGGGACTGAATTCAATAGTTACCTTAATCATGGTTAGCAGTGTTTTTATCATTACCAAAAGAAACAACCGTGTTCACATGCACTGAAGACACAGGAACTTCATATCATGGCAGCTTTTTTCAAACTAAAAGAAGAGTCTCTGGTGAGTTTTAACTCTCAAACAATGCATGCTGGGAAGTCTATTATTGTGATAATTTTGTTTCTTTAAAAACTTTATTTATTGAGAAAAACTTATGTTCATAAGTTCCAAAGTCTGAAAATGAAAACTAGACATTCTAAGAATGAACTTGAATTTAACAAAACCTAATGACATATTAACATTAAATTAATGAGAAAAGATTAGTTGATTCCACTAAATTCTTGTATAATGGTTTACAGTGCAGTTACAGCTCTGGTGAGTTTGAGTCCTGACCAAACACCCTGAGTAGACAGCTGCCACACTGGGTGGTGCTGCGGGAGTATAGTCTTCTTGGTTAGGAAAACACCATCACTGAATGGGTGAATCAAGCTGTGTGATAATTGAGTATGAAGGAGGGTGGCGCAAGTATGTCAGACAATTTCCTCCCTGTAAAAACAATATCCAAAACAAAACATGATCATCAACAAACGTCTGATGTCTTTGTCTTTGTCTTCTGCTCACTGACTGAAACATGACACAAAACAAAAAATTACAAATGAAAAACATGCTTTCTACAGTGAGAATTATTAAAAGTAAGCAAGTGATTTTATATAGGCTAATATTCCATGTAAGATAGATCAGATTTTCATTGATAATAATGTACGTTGGTCAGTATCATATATATTATCAACATTTTTTTTCTTTGACCTTTGACCACCAAAATCTAATCAGTTCATCTTTCAGTCCCAGTGATCATTTGTGCCAAATTTGAAGAAGTTCTGTCAAGGCGTTACTAACATATCGTGTCCACAAAAATGGACTGGCCGGACAGACAACCCAAAAACAATATGTCTTGGACTCTGGCTTTTACCAGTGCAGAGGCATAAAAATACAGCACAGTCTTTGTCATTTAAAGTCGAGATTTATGTCTAATAATAACATCCGAGGGGCATCGACGACATCGAGGGTAAGAGGCAAGGTCATGGTGACCTCACAAAACATGTTGAATTCATGAACCGATACACTAAGTATGACACAATTTAACTTTAGCAAAAATAAGCCCATAGACAAGTGTTGCTCAGGTCTATACAAACCCTCTTGTGAAAATAAAACATACATGACATAAAAGGCTCCCATATTCTGCAAAATACATTGTCTTTAACATGCATGTCAAAAAATCCAAAGATACGTATTCAAGCATGATTTATGCCAATATGTTTTGGATGGAACTTTATCTGTTACCCAGCTCAAAAGAAAGCATTTTCTTTACAGAATGTAAGCATGTAGAGTTTCCTTTTATACTTATCAGTAATAGATGCATTTGATATCCCAAGTAACATGCATTGAGTGCCACACCCTCTTGTAATAGAGGATTTCATTAGTTTCACTCTCTATAATCTGCCAAAATTGCTGAATTTTCCTGCAAGATCACAGGCAATTAGTGAAACTCCTTGTCTTTTTTTGCATTTGGGACATTGTGGGGAGGAATCCATATTAAACTTATGGTGTTGGGATGGGGATATGTGGGCCCTGTGTAAGTTGAATTGCTTTTACTCTATTACAGTCACTACAGACACTGTTACAGAAGTGCTTGTATTGTCGTACCCTTTAAGAATATCTTAGATAGACCTTATAGACTATATTATAGACCCAACTGTTTGCTCGGAATTAGAGATATTTTCATTGCCAAGGATTATAGTCCCTCTCATGGCCACCAGATTCTAATCAGTTCATCTTTGAGTCCAAGTGAATGTTTGTGTCAAATCTGAAGAAATTCTCTCAAGGTGGTCTTGACAAATCACATTCAAGAAGCCAAAACCATGTTTTGTGAGGTCACAGTGACCTTGACCTTTGACCCTTGACCAATAAAATCTAATCAGTTCATCCTTGAGTTCAAATGAATGTTTGAGCCAAATTTGAAGAACTTCCCTCAAGGTGTTACTGATCATGTTGACAAGAATGGGACATACATGCAGACAGACAACATGAAAAACATAATGCCTCCAGCTCCAACTATCGCCAGCCCAGAAGTACAAAAATACAGCACATTAGTCTTTGTCAGTTAGATTCTAGTCATATTTCCAATACAGAGGCCGGGGGGGTCAGGGTGGGATTTTTATGTGTCCGCACTGGCGGTGTTTGGGTTGTTCATCCGTATATACGTCTGTAGTTTCCGTCCGTAGTTTCCATCCGTGTGAACGCGATATCTCAGTATCTGAATAAAGTTTGGTGGTAAGAGGGCAAATGTCAAGGTCATTGTGACCTATGACCTTTCAACAAAACACACAAATGTTAAATCATCCTCATTTACATGTGGAATTTAGAAATTTAAACTTCATGCTTTTAGTTTAGGTTCACAATACCTAACAAGTAATCACTGATAAAGGTTAAAAGGGTGTGGAAAGGAAAGTTGACATGTTTTCAACACAACAAAAGAGGGGTTGGCTGTCTGAATGATCATGCTGTAAAAATGGGAACACACCCAATCCCTGGCATTTATACGCATGCATCTGTCATAAATGTATTCAACACCTGTAGAGTATATAAAGAATTGCTGATGAGTTGAAGTGTCATGATCCAGGAAAACTAATCTGCAGCGCTCACCTCCACATCATGATGAAGCTGATCCTCTCTCTGACTCTCGTCTGGGCGCTCTCCAGCACAGGTAATGCTACTTCTTCTTACATTAGAGTTGCAGCAGGTACAACTGAAATTAATTTAAAACATTTAGGAAGTTCTACATCTTACCAGAACAATTTTTTAAAAGCTAAACTAAATAATGCATAATTTATTGTTATTCACCAGAACTAATTTCATTCTTGAAAATTTTATATAAGACAGTACAGTACAGCATTACAAGAATCACTCTAAACAAGTAGGAAACTATGGAAGGGCTGAAAGGCAAGTGAATTTTTTTTTGAAACAATCTTTTTTTTCCCATCTGTATAAACACCCCCAAGAGGCAAGTGATATTTTGAGAAAAATGATCACTCCCCCACACATTTTAATTGACTCATGGGGGTCGTTTTTCTATGTTCTTTTTTGCTTCTGTGACAACAACCCCTGAGAGGCAAGTGATTGTTTCACTTGCCTCTCAGGGGTGTTTATACAGATGAAAAAAACTTGAAAATAAAAAGAAAGATCCTTGCTGTTCAGGGCTTTTGGTACAAAAACACTAGAGAACTAAACCATAAGAGTTTAGCAGAGTATATTATTTTGAGTATTTATAAACCATCAAACCCCTTTAACCCTAAAGACCTCACACATTTCACTCAACAGTTTTTCACTATTTTTCTCTCCATTGCAGCTGAAGCACTCATGTGTCAAACTTGCACAGATCAACAGTGTTCAAGTTCAGCCCTACTCCCATGTACCTCAGAGACGATGTGTATAACAGCTTCCATTCAAGGTAGTCTTTTCTTCATGTCCATTACTTTTCAGTGTAATACATGTACTGCAAAGTTACGTGTGCTTTCCATCAACATTAACAAACTGCTCTCTGTAGCTGTTTCATCTGGAACTCCAGCACAGCAAATCCTCAAGTCGTGTGCATCGTCCTCCCTGTGTCCAGCAACAGGCTCTCAGACATTTTCAGTGAACTTGGGTGTTCAAAGTGCAGTTGCATCTGCTCAGTGCTGCAACACAGATAACTGCAACTCAGCAACAGTACCTTGTAAGTACAGGTGCATGACTATTTATTTAAGGCAAGATGTTATAGATAAGGAAAGAATATCGGAATCCTTCTTCTGACATGTTCTGTTTATGACGCTTAAATGTTCTCTCTTCCACAAATAAATGTTGTTCTTTTCTGTTTCAGTCCCTGCTGCTCAGTCAAGTAACAGCCTATCGTGTTTTTCTTGTAACCCCGTCACCTCTCAATGCACCACTCAATTACAGTGTAGTGGAGTGGAGGACCGCTGTTTTCAAGTGAATGGTGAGTCTTTTTTGCTGAGTTTGTGAGTTTTTGTTTTTTGCTCAGAATGACTTTTTGACAATTATTGATAGTTTTGCATTAATTTTATTTTGATTGACTAATCAAGGAATGAATTAATTATTGCAGTTCTAAATTCTAAATTAATAGAGTATATTTACACTGTGCTTCTGCTACTGCCACTTAAAGTGTAACTTATCACCAGACTGATAAAAGGTGTACTGCTGCCCTGTGCTGGTTGAAAGTTTCAAACCTGTTTTCACCTCTGAAAACAACCAACACTGTACATGTTGGCTGTGACTGGATGTGATGATCAGATGTGCTCTGTTGAGCAACAGTCCCGGAGTACACTTGTACATCACTTCAACAAGTTTAGACATTAAACCACTTGATGTCAGAAAAAACTAACTCGTGAAGCAAAAGTTCTTAAAAATCTTCCAGGAATGAACTGACAGTAATTGTATTTGTACAATAACACAGTGATTTTTCATATACAGTGGCGAGTGGGTCCACCACTTCTCCAGCCTTTGGCTGTGCATCTACAAACCTGTGTGCAGCTGCTTCCAGCCTGGGAAGCCTACCCTTCCTGCAAAGTGCTGGTAACATCAGCAGTGGACCAACCTGCTGTGACACCAGTTTGTGTAATACTGTCACAATAATAACCGCTGCCCCAACAACAACAACCACTGCTCCAACAACAACAACCGCTGCCCCAACAACAACAACTGCTGCCCCAACTACAACTACAACAACCACAGCCCCTACAACAACAACCACTGCACCAACTACAACAACCGCTGCCCCAACAACAACAACTGCTGCCCCAACTACAATTACAACAACCACTGCCCCTACAACAACAACCACTGCCCCAACCGCAACAACTGCTGCCCCAACAACTACAACCTCTTCTCCAATGACAACAACTGCTGCCCCAGCAACAACAACCACTGACCCGACGACAACTGCTGCCTCGACAACTACAACCACTGCCCCTACCACAACAACTGCTGCCCCAACAACTACAACTGCTGCACCAACAACAACTGCTGCCCCAACAACCACAACCACTGCCCCAGCGACAACAACTGCTGCCCCTACAACAACCTCTGCCCCAACAACAACTACTGCCCCTACAACAACCGACGCCCCTACCACAACAACCGCTGCCCCGACAACAACTGCTGCCCCAACAACTACAACTGCTGCACCAACGACTACTAGCCCAACAACAACAACAACTGCTGCCCCAACAACAATCACTGCCCCAGCGACAACTGCTGCCCCAACAACAGCTGCCTCAACAACAACAGCTGCCCTGACAACAACCGCTGCCCCGACAACAACAACCGCTGCAACGACAACTGCTGCCCCAACAACAACAACTGCTGCCCCAGCGACAACAACTGCTTCCCCAACAACCACAACCACTGCCCCAACAACTCCAACTGCTGCTCCAATGACTACTAGCCCAACAACAACCGCTACCCCAACAACAACTGCTTCCCTGACAACAACAACAGCCCCGACAACAACCGCTGCCCCAACAACCGCTGCCCAAACAACTGCTGCCCCGACAACCACCGTTGCCCCAACAACAACCGCTGCCCCAACAACTGCTGCCCCAACAACAACCGCTGCAATGACAACTGCTGCCCCAACAACAACAACCGCTGCCCCAGCGACAACAACTGCTGCCCCAACAATTACAACTGCTGCACCAACGACTACTAGCCCAACAACAACAACCACTGCCCCAACAACAACTGCTTCCCTGACTACAACAACAGCCCCGACAACCACTGCTGCCCCAACAACAACCGCTGCAATGACAACTGCTGCCCCAACAACAACAACCGCTGCCCCAGCAACAACAACAGCTGCCCCAACAACAACAACCGCTGCCCCAGCGACAACAACTGCTGCCCCAACAACAACTGCTGCCCCAACAACTACAATCATTGCTCCAACAACAACAACCGTTGCACCAACGACTGCTGACCCAACAACAACAACCGCTTCTCTAACATCGACAGCTGTCCAAACAACAACTGCTGCCCCAATGACTGCTGCATCATCAACAACTGCTACCCCGACAACAACTGCTGCCCCGACAGCAACCGCTGCCCCGACAGCAACCGCTGAAACAACAACTGCTGCCCCAACAACAACAACAACCGCTGCCCCAGCGACAACAACTGCTTCCTCAACAACCACTACCGCTGCCCCAGTGACAACAACTGCTGCCCCTACAACAACCGCTGCCCCAGTAACAACAACTGCTCCCCCAATAACTACAACCGCTGCCTCAACAACTCCAACCACTGCTCCAACAACAACAACAACCGCTGCCCCAACAACAACAACTGCTGCAATGACAACTGCTGCCCCAACAACAACAACCGCTGCCCCAGCGACAACAACTGCTGCCCCAACAACAACAACCGCTGCCCCAGCGACAACAACTGCTGCCCCAACAACAACAACCATTGCACCAACGACTGCTGACCCAACAAAAACAACCGCTTTCCCAACATCGACAGCTGCCCTGACAGCAACCGCTGCCCCGACAGCAACCGCTGCCCCAACAACAACCGCTGCAACAACAACTGCTGCCCCAACAACAACAACAACCGCTGCCCCAGCGACAACAACTGCTTCCTCAACAACCACTACCGCTGCCCCAGTGACAACAACTGCTGCCCCAGTGACAACAACTGCTGCCCCTACAACAACCGCTGCCCCAGTAACAACAACTGCTCCCCCAATAACTACAACCGCTGCCTCAACAACTCCAACCACTGCTCCAACAACAACAACAACTGCTGCCCCAACAACAACAACTGCTGCCCCAGCAACAACAACTGCCGCCCCAACAACAACAACCGCTGCCCCAGCGACAACAACTGCTGCCCCAACAACAACAACCATTGCACCAACGACTGCTGACCCAACAAAAACAACCGCTTTCCCAACATCGACAGCTGTCCAAACAACAACTGCTGCCCCAATGACTGCTGCATCATCAACAACTGCTACCCCAACAACAACTGCTGCCCTGACAACAACCGCTGCCCCGACAGCAACAACCGCTGCAACGACAACTACTGCCCCAACAACAACAACAACTGCTGCCCCAGCGACAACAACTGCTTCCTCAACAACCACAACCGCTGCCCCAGTGACAACAACTGCTTCCCCGACAACAACAACCGCTGCCCCAGCAACAACAACTGCCGCCCCAACAACAACAACCGCTGCCCCAGCGACAACAACTGCTTCCTCAACAACCACAACCGCTGCCCCAGTGACAACAACTGCTGCCCCTACAACAACTGCTGCCCCAGTAACAACAACTACTCCCGCAATAACTACAACCGCTGCCTCAACAACTCCAACCACTGCTCCAACAACAACAACAACCGCTGCCCCAACAACAACAACCGCTGCAACGACAACTGCTGCCCCAACAACAACAACTACTCCCGCAATAGCGACAACCGCTGCCTCAACAACTCCAACTACTGCTCCAACAACAACAACAGCTGCCCCAGTAACAACAACTACTCCCGCAATAGCGACAACCGCTGCCTCAACAACTCCAACTACTGCTCCAACAACAACAACAACCGCTGCCCCAACAACAACTGCTGTCCCTTCAACAACCGCTGTCACTACAACAACTGCTGCCCCAACAACAACCACTGCCCCAACAACGACTGCTGCCCCTTCAACAACTGCTGCCCCAAAATCAACAACTGTTGCCCCTACAACAACCACTGCACCAACTACAACAACCTCCACCTCTGCAATACAATCAACCACAACTACAACAACTGCCAGTGATGCCTGCTGCAACCAACTGGGTATGATCCATCTACTGCTTGGTCTCCTTGTCCTTACCCTCTATTAGAACACAGGAGAACATGGACGAAACACCTGTGAAGCCACCAGAAGGACTCTGAAAGAATGACTTGACTTGGGTTTATTGTTCTCTGCTGTCATTAGTTGGAGTAACAGGGGCTAAAAAATAAAAAATTAGTAAAAAGCGGATGGAGTTTGGGTGAAGCTGAGGTGGGATGAAAAGGTACAGATGCAATAGAGACATATATGACCACATAACAGAGAGAAAAAACTTTCACAGATTTAATATCCTTGGTATGTACTCACATTATTTAATATTTATGTTTCAAATTGTAGTAATATAATACTTAATAATATTCAAGACTGAAATAAATGAATGAAAACACCCTTGAAAATGCCCATCTTGTTGTGTTGTGTTAAATGAAAAAAAAAGAAAAAAAGAAAAAGAAAAGAAAAACCTAGTGTAAGTGCAGTTGGATTCTTTCAACTTTGTCTTCATTTTGTGTTTGACGGGTCCAATATATGTGTTTGAAGTAAAATGAACAATATTTGGTTGTATAGGTTGAACAAAAGTTTAATCACCTCAAACTAGTTCGTCCTCCTCCTGCCTTAAAAGTGTGAGTTAACTGAACTCAGGTTAAAAAGTTTGTTGTTTTATGAGTTTTAGAAAATGGAAGACTGAGTTAATGGAATTTGAGAAAACAAGTTCAATAAAGTTAGGATATTTAGTTGAATCAACTGTTTAGTCACATGGACAGTCATTACAGACAGATTTCCTTCTACATTTTCCTAGTTAAAGAGTTAGTTCTTCTTGACATGAAGGCCTTACAGCTGTAGGGTCAGGAGAAAGACAATATGTGAGGCTGGGGACTTTCAGTATTAAACTGACATTCAAGGTAAGACAGCTGTTACACTGGGTGGTGCAACGGTAATATAGCTATATAACCTAACCTGCCTGGTTAGGTAAACTAACGGGTAAAGCAAGCTGTGTGATAATATGAGGAAGGGCAATATGAGTCAGACGGTTTCCTCCCTGTTGACACAATGTCCAACACAAGACATGATCATCAAAGAATGTCTTAGGTGTTTTCTTTTGCCTTCTGCTCACTGAATGATACATCACACAAAACAAATTACAAATCAAAAACTACCTGTTGATATAGTATGATTATGATATAGTATCATTAATTCGAACGTCCCTGGATGACCACAGTGTGAGTGGCTGGCTCAGGCGCTCACCACATCTGTGTTGTAACTAAATACTGTAGATTACCAGCAGAGCAGGTTAATAGAGCTGAAGTGGCTGCTGCTGCCTGTAGCTGTGATTATGACTGTAGAAATGTAGGAACAGCTGTTGCTGTCACTCATTTTGGCTGTGCATTGGATTTCAACATATTTTTCAAGGGTTTAACACTAACAGCATGCAGTGGTTGTTTGTATCTAGTGAACTGGTGTGGTTGTAATGAAGCTACTGTATCCCTGAACTCTTACTGCTGGAGTTCAGTCTGTTAGAGAGTTGTGGAAAATCAACCACTTCATCTCTTCTTTAAGAGCATCTCCCTAAACTGGCTGTGTATTATACCTGGACTGGACTAACACACTAACTGTTCCGGGAGGAAAACGGAGACAGGCATTCAATGTGTGAAATTAACATACATGAAAAAAAAATAGTGGAAAACAGGACTGAACAAAAAAAAGAAAAAATCTTGTCAGAAAGCAGTAGAGAGAAGAAGGTATCAAATGAAATCATCCTCATTTGAATGTGGAATTCAGAAAAATGTATATATCTTTTGGTGTTGGTTGAAAATCCAAGACAAGTCAAAACTTAACTATAAAGGGTGTTGGAAGGTGTGTCAACATGTTTTTCCACCTAATAGGAAAGGAAGGTAAAAGGAAAGTTGACATGTTTTCAACACAACAAAAGAGGGGTTGGCTGTCTGAATGATCATGCTGTAAAAATGGGAACACACCCAATCCCTGACATTTATACGCATGCAGTGGTCGTAAATGTATTCAACACCTGTAGAGTATATAAAGAGTTGCTGATGAGTTGAAGTGTCATCATCCAGGAAAACTAATCTGCAGTGCTCACCTCCACATCATGATGAAGCTGATCCTCTCTCTGACTCTCGTCTGGGCGCTCTCCAGCACAGGTAATGCTACTTCTTCTTACATTAGAGTTGCAGCAGCTACTACTGAAATTAATTTAAAACATTTAGAAAGTCCTACATCTTACCAGAACCATAAAAAAAAGTTAAATAAATAATGGATTATTTATTATATAATTTACATAACAGCTAAAGAACTAAATAATAAGAGTCTAGCAGTGTATATTAGAAAGTTTAAATTATTTTTAACCATTACAACCATTATGTCTTAAAATCTTTGTGAGCAACAGAAACAAATCCCTTTAACCCTAAAGACCTCACACATTTGACTTGACATGTTTTCACTATTTTTCTCTCCATTGCAGCTGAAGCACTTGTGTGTCAAAATTGCACAGATCAACAATGTTCAGACACAAAACCAATTACATGTTCCTCAGAGATGATGTGTATAACAGCTTCCATTGAAGGTAGTCTTTTGTTCATGTCCATTACTTTTCAGTTAGATACATGTACTGCAAAGTTACAAGTGCTTTCCATCAACATTAACAAACTGTTCTTGGTCTCTGTAGCCACTACATCTGGAACTCCAGTACAGCAAATCATCAAGTCGTGTGTACCATCCGTGATGTGTCAAGTCTCTCAGACCATTTCACAGAACTTGGGTTATATGGATGTATTTGCATCTACTCAGTGCTGCAACACAGATAACTGCAACTCAGCAACACTACCTTGTAAGTACAGATGGATGACTATTTTATTTAAGATGAGATGATGGTAGATAAGGGAAGAATATTGGAAACTTTCCTCTGATATGTTGTTTTCATTTCGTGATACATTCAGTCCCGGGTCCTCAGTCAAGTAACAGCCTACAGTGTTTATCCTGTGACTCACCCTTGGACACTAACTGCAGCACTCCAACACAGTGTAGAGGAGTCCAGGACCGCTGCTTTCAAATGAGTGGTGGGTCTTCTTTTACTCTCTTCTACTACCTCCAAGTTTTTCAAACTAAATTCTACTTGTGAAATCTGGAAAATCAACCAGTGGATGAAAGTAATGAAATATATAAATTAAGTACAATTGAGGCATTTTTATTATCATTCTAATCCATTACATTTCAGAAGTAAATAATTTACTTTTTATTACCTTTCTATGTTTATATGACAGCTATAGTGAGTAGATACTTTACAGATTAAGATTTTATACTATCATCTTAGTGTCATAGTTAACCATCAAGAAGAAAGATGAAAAGTCCAGCTACATTTTTTATTTCATTTTGTAAAATTAAGCACTTTATTATGATTTTTCAAAACCCGTCTGTAATGTTGTTATTACTTATTACAGCTGTTATTTTTCTTGAAATGCTAAAAGAACATGTAAATGTTATTATATTATTATTTAGTGAAGGTGTTGTTATCATATATATATATATATATATATATATATATAATGATTTTTAATTGAATACCCCTTATCTACAGTGACGGTTGGATCCAACATTTTTTCAACCTTTGGCTGCACATCTATGAACGTGTGTGCAGCTGCTTACAACTTGGAAAACCTACCCTTCCATCAAAATCTTGGTAACTCCCCCTCTCAAACGAGCTGCTGCGAGACCAATTTGTGTAATAATCGCACGACTGCCTCAACAAATACAACTACTGCCAGTGATGCCTGTTGTATCCAACTGGGCACGATCCATCTGCTGCTTGGACTGCTCCTTTTCTTTACCCTCTATTAGAACACTGGGAAAAAAATGGACGAAACACCTTTGAAGCCACCAGGACTCTGAAGGAATCCATGAACACACAACAGAGGGAAAACAATATTAAATAGTTAACTTGTGCTGCAAATTGTACAAATATACCAAGGGCTTGGTTTTATCTTTGATAGGGACACATTTATTTTGTATCTACAGATAAAGAATCTATAAAAAGAATTCACTGAATATTTGTTTGCTGATATAACTTGGAAATAAACTGGATTTGTATCATGACTTTTTTCTCTGATTTTTAACAGATGTTTTTTAATGAGACAAAAATGTATATTTAGGTGTGCTTCTCTGTTTGAACTGTCGTGAGCCATTTTCAAATCTCACCTAAGATTCTGTAGCTCTGCATTATATAACCATTACTGTTACACTAAGTTTATTTCTTGAGCAGAAGTATGATTATGATGACAAATATCATTTTTAAATACCTTATAGTAGATTTGAATGTTACTTCAGTAATAATATGTTATAGTTTGAATAATATGAATATATGAATACTCTTCTTCTGTACCAAATATATCAAAATGTTGAAGGATCACCTTGAGACCTTTTTGTTTTCAAATTACATTTTTTAGGCCGGTGGATTTCAATCCGCATTTGCAAAAATTGTCCATGCAGTCATTTGTGAGGGTCATTATGCCAGATGTCAGCATCCTCTCATCAAAGATGTCTCTGAATATCTGTTAGCTGTCTGTTATGACAGTTAGCTTAGCTAGCTTGCATTCAGGCTACGTATATGCCGTGCAGCCCATACAGCAGGCCGTTGCCCATAGCAGGATCCAGTCCCAGGTGAGCACAGTGCAGCAGCATGAGGGTCAAAGCATGCCGCCATAGCACCGCTGAGGAGTCCTGCTGCTACCATGGCGCCCAAATCCATTCTCACCATTAGCTTAACAGTCTTCCAGGGCTGCTACAACAAGTTAACTGTTGCGCTGGCTAATGCAAGTAGCTAGCTAATGCTCGATAAAAAAAATAAAAATTAAAAATAAGGGGGGAAATATAAATCTGAAAAAATAAATTTTGGACACTGTTGAAAAGGCCTTAATGTGATGTAATTTGTTAGTGATGTGTTTAAATGTAGTTTGCAATTTATATATTTACAATTTCATTTCTAATATGCCACTCCTGTATGAATTTATCTATTGCTTTACTGCCAATTCATCACACTTACGTAGAGCACAGTGGTAGAGAACTGAAGATGAAATTTGGAAATGATGTGACCAGTGCAATGTCAATATTCTACTCTGGTTGTTGATTAGTTAAGTATAAGTACTGTCATTAAAGTGTCTTTACATATCAAACTTAAAAGTATTAGATAAATCATTGTATTGTCATTGCAGTTCCATTAAGATGTAAGCAAATGTCATCTACTTTTTGAGGTAATCATTTCTGCATGTCATCTATTCTTTTTCAGTGAAATGTGTCACCTACAAAGTTATGTGTGCTTTTCAATATTAACAACTTGCAACTCCTTCATTTTATTTGTGTTTGAAGTCACACCCAGATGGATAGGGTAAGTGGTTTCCTGCCACTGGAACCACTCTTTACTTCACATCATTGGTGAGTGTCAGTACTGACCTGACACTGAAGTCACTCACCAATGATGTGATCTGATCTGCCATAACAGATGACATACTGATGGTATACTGGTATTTAATCTACGTAAGTAACGTAATTGAATCCAATATTGAATAGAGGAACTACGGCTGCCAGTCTCACAACATTCCAGATGATGACGAACAACAAACACGTGCTGTGTGGTAATTATGACGGCCCTCCTTTATACTGTATCTCAGACAGTTTCCTCCCAGTCGAATGTAATGTTATTATTGGCTTTTCTTTGCAAGTTTGCAAGTTTTTCTACATTGTAAGGCAAACTGATGCATCAAACACAATAACAAACAAATTAAGTATATCTTCCTCCTGTGCCACCTCGAAACTTAATGAGAATTACTCATTTATTACGTGCGTGCACTCCTCCATAGGCTGTGCCAGATGTAATTGGCACATCGAGCTGCTCTCTAGTTTTAGTTAGTTGATCAATACCTGTGGCACAGAAACGCACCTTGAGTGTAGACTACTGGTGTCGGCGCTGAACTTCTCAGTGAACCCTTATCAGTCGAACAGAGCGAGCAGACAGAGATGAGCTCCGTGCTGCAGGTGAACCCCAGGGTGCGGGCGATCAGAGCCCCGACGCGTCTGCAGAGTGTGGCTGCACGCATCACACAGCAGATCGCACAGGTGAGCTACACAGGCGTAATACACCTGATCGAATCTAACTGTAGGCTGTGTTACTGTGATACTGTAAGGGCCAGAGAAGAACGGTTCAGTTGTGTCAAGGAAATAACTGAGTAACAATTCAACAATATAAACACACCCAAAAGGCTACAGGTGAAACTTGTTCATTTCATCCCTTGTATGCGACAGAAGAAGGCGATAATGGTGTCATACTACTATACAAATTATATCATTGGATTGTTATTACAAAGGTGCATTAACATGAGTTAACAGGAGTTCATTTTAACTACTTTACATGGGTCTAGAGTTGACAAGTTTAATCAGTAACAAGGCATCATATTTTTATCAAGGTCTCATGATTTGTATGTAAAATTATGTCCTGACATATAACAACTATAAATAAATGTAGTTCATACAGAATGCACTGAAAACATATAAGAGAAAGGAAAACAGCAGTAAAATGCAAATGAATGGAATAGAAAACGTTTCAAAGGAAATTTAAAAAGTTAAAAATATACATATGGAAGAGGATGTATGAAAATGGAAATACTCCAATAGTGCGTAAGTACAGAGTAAATGTACTACTAATTACCCTCCTGGTACTGTTAGGCTATCTTTACTTGCAACTTCATGGCTGCTTTTGTACATTATATTGTACTTTTACAAACCATATGTCTGATAGCTGATTTAGTTTTGATTTAAAAAATATACTGAATTTCACAAGTGTTTTGTTAATATTAATACACAATTAGATGGCAGAGCAACAGAAAACAGAGACAGCATGGTCCAGTTAAAGGCACTGAATACAAAACAAAGGTAGATCAGTACTTTGGCCTGACCAATATATCAGTTGATGTGAACTTATTGCCTATATGTGGATCTACTTACGTATTGGTGTGTGTGGTAGCTGATAAGTGACAAGAAACTGCACAACAGAAATGCCAAAGATAGGTAAAGGAAAAAAAGATGGGTTGTGCAGCACTGGGTCAAAAACAGTAATACTGGTAATGTTGAAGTAAAAATCAGTTGCTCTTTAAGGACAGGGCAAGTAGTGAAAGAGAGACCAGCTCTTAGGATAAAAATAGACAGGGAGGGTAGAACAATACAACTAACCTAAGAGTGTTTCCTTCTCAGGGAGCAAACAAACCTTTCAAGAAGGTGATTGATGTCAGTTCAGATGATCCACACAGGATGGGGATGGCACCCATTTCATTTGTTCGCCAGGTTGGTGTTTTTATATTTTATTTATGTGTGCTTGTGTGTGTGTGAGTGTCCCATGTCTGCCCTGTGATCAGTCTGACAGCTACAAACTGAGTCTATCTTGGGTCTGTCATTCCCTGTTTGTTTTCCCAGGTCTTGGCGGTGTGTCTGTACCCTGAGCTCCTCGAAGAAAAAACCCTTCCTCTGGATGTCAGGCAGAGGGCGAAGAGGCTTCTGGGGGTTTGCGGTGGAGGGAGCGTGGGTATGTAGAGATTTAAAAGCACCTGGTCAAAAATAATGAATAGATTTCTGATCTATCACCTTTGTCGATGACAGGTTCATACTCCACAGCCACCAGTGGTTTACCGCTAGTCAAGAAAAGCATCGCTGACTTCATAACGAAGCGAGATAATGGAGTGAGTTCACATCCAGAGAACATCATCATCTCCAATGGTTCTCAGAAGACTTTGTCGGTATGATTAAAGATATTTTTGGGAATATTATTAGTATATCTTATCAACATTTTGCTGTAAATCTCCATATTATGCTTACAAACATGGTGATGTTTAGCAGAGATAATGTTTATCATGTTCACCATCTTAGTTTAGCGTGTTTGCATGCTAACAGTAGCAGGAAGTACAGCTGGGACTGGAGGAAATGTTTTTACAGGTATTCAGTCATAAACCAAAGTATTGGACAAATTGACATTCTGACCTATATGGAAAGTTAAGCATCAACGAAAATATCATTCATTGTGAGGGGAACATCTGAACCAAATTTCATGACTATCCGTCACACAGTTCTTGAAACATTTCACACTAAAGCTGACCACCGACCATAGACCACTACAACGTTACCTTTCCACGACTTATTAATTATCAAAAAAAAATTGTCAGTCTCAACTTTTATCCATCTTACAATAGCAAAGTTGCTATGGTGACTGAAGAAGTTCAGTCTAGTTAATAGTATATCTACCTTCATACTCTATTTAGAAATGTTGAGGGTCTTTTTGTGGCTTGTCAGGTCAAACCTATTCTGCAAATAATATTTTAATGTGGTATCACATTAGTGTACATTTTAGCACGTTGTTAATGGCATTGCATTGTCATTTGTTGTGTTTAGCTGGTTTTACACCTGATGGCCAGTGGGACTGGAGTGACTCAGACAGGTGTGTTAACCCCTGTGCCCTCCCCACACACACTGCCCATGCTGATAGATTTGTCAGGGGTGAAACTGGTGCCGTACCAGCTGAAAGAGGAGGCGGGCTGGGCTGTAGAACTGGAAGAACTGCAACAAGCTTTGGCAACCGCTAGGGGGGACTGTGAACCCAGAGCCATTTACATCAGCAACCCAGGAAACCCCACAGGTCAACAACACACAGCAGCTACATCAAGTGCACCCCCCATTTTCATATTTGCTACTCACTTTTATTTGTCCTCCTAGGTCATGTGCAAGACAGGAAGACAATGGAGAGAGTGATTCGATTTGCTGCAGCGGAGGGCCTCGTCCTATTGGCTGAAGAGGTAGTTATTGGATACACAGTGAAACAGTCATCTAAAAGACTTTAGTTCAGTCTCACACCAGCTCATTTTTTCGTGTCTTCTCGGACCTTCTAGGTGAATCAGGACAGTGTGTACGGGCAGGGCAAAGAGTTTATTTCCTATAAGAAAGTCCTGTTTGAGATGGGGAAGAAGTACGCAGAGAAAGTGGAGTTGATCTCCCTCCACTCGATATCTACGGCCCCCATGGGAGAGTGAGTTTGACTGATTTTTCTTTAAGAGCAATCCTGGATTATCCCAGTCTGTGACCTTAACACTCACTACTTGCTGATTTAACCACATAAACCAGGCGTTGGCAACCTTTTTCTATGATGAGTATCAACTGACAAAGATGAGGACGGTCAGTGTGACAAATGCGTTTGCTAATGTGCAATGTGTGATTATTTTCAATTTTGCACTGATAGTTAGTTGCACTACTATTGGGAGAAGCTCGGCGTCCTCTTGCGACAAACCCGAACTCCCTAACTTGTCCAACTGAGCTGACGAAGCCTGCTAGATTTGCCATGTTGCGTGCACATTGGTGCAGTGTCGTTCTTTGCAGGATCATTACTCATTCACACCTGGCTCAACGACCAATCGCCATCGTTATATCATCATGTCAACATTCATTTATCGTGCTGGTTTAATCTGTTTTATCATTAACCTAATTCTGCACCCACTAGTTATGGGATCCTGCTAGGAAGCTGAATACACAATATGCCGAGAGTACTGTTTAAAAAGCACATGGTCTTCAACACATCATAGACATCAGGTTTGGTGAGAACTACTACAGGACATACCACTTGATGGTTCAGATTTGTCTTGTAAACGTTGCAAGCACAACTCCACCTCAGAAACATTTTTGTAAAAGTTTATTTACCAGCATCTTCAAACATAGGTTCATGATCAGGTTTATGATCACGATCTCACAAATGTCTGCACCCAATTCAGAATATAAGAAAGTTTGGATCCTATTATTCCACTGAGTTTTCCTGTGTTCTTTGGTGCACATGCTGTGTACTTCCACCGACACAGTCTGACACCTTTTAGTAAAGAAAAACATCAGAGCAGAACCAGGCAGTTACATCAATGGAAAACTTAACACATTCTGTGGAAAAAAAACGGACCAGGAAAACATTTTAACCTGCAGACATCTGTGTTCTCAGGTTAAGCAGTGTGTGGTGAGCCAGTGTCACAGATGTGGCTAACCTTTGTTATAATTTAACCCAAAAAATGTAATTTTTCAGATGTTTTCAGACTGAATGCAAATTGAATGTTAAAGGTTTACATATGAGGTTGATAAAAAAACATGAAAGGACAGATCAAGGTTGAGGTTGAAGAGAGTTCTTAGATGTGTTTTATTAAAAGGATCAGTTTGACATTGCAGATTAATTATTAAACATGATTTTTAACCAAAGCAGGTGTCAAAGTCCTGGCTTTGAATGCCCAACATCCAACCTGCCCAGTGAAATAACTGGATGACATGATGCCAGTGAATCATCAACACAGCAATTATGTTGGCTCCATATTGCTTTGTAAGGGAAAACAATGTAGCACAGTTCAAACTGAGCTGTAAATGCAGATTGTATTCATGGGTGATTTACATTGTATAATTTCAACAATTATCTGTCCATCCTTTAACTACTCTGCTCATACACCAAACTGAACTTGAGCCCTGTAATATATGACTATAAAAAGAAATAAAGTGAGGTGGAAAATTCACTTTAAATTTAACCTGAATGTCTCTTCAACCTTAACAAACACTAACTGTATCTTTTCTCTCTGGTGACCCGTTTAACTCTGCGCTCACCCTGTGTTTAGGTGTGGTCTGAGAGGAGGGTATATGGAGGTACTTAACATCGACCCAGCTGTGTATAAGTATTTAAGAAACATTCAGCTCACTTCCAGCCCTCCAGTTATTTCACAGCTCGCTCTGGAGGTGATGGTCAATCCACCCACACCTGGAGATCTTTCATATAAAACATACGCACAGGTAAGTGGATGAGACAAAGCTCTCCTGACTCTGAATCTCAAGTATTATTTGCTGAACAGCCCATAAAACACAGTCTTGTCCAATCACAGTATTATGAAATCTGGCATATAATCACCATACAAAGTTAATAAGGCACATGTCTCTCTCAGTTTTATCTGTTTTAGTTTCCACTAAAAAACCAGACTAAAAACATCTGACTCTTTGTTTGTCTGTTGGGTATTTGCTGCTGGGCTGAGACAGTGCAATGGATGTATTACCTGAATACAGCTGCTGTTAATGACTGAACCAAAACAGTAAAGCTGCAGCCCTGAAAACAAAAACAATGGGAAGGGAAACTGCAGAGCTGATACAATCATTTTGACACAATCATTCTTTTCAGTTGTTAGAATATTCATGAGCGCAGCCTTATGTTACTGTCAAAGGAGTTTTGCCCAGGCCTAGCTGGTCTAGTTTTAAAACTGATAACCCTTGTCTGTCATTGCTGTCTCCATCGTAGGAGATTCTTCACACTCAGACAATGCTTTCCCAGAATGCTCAGCGGGCTTGTGAGTTCTTGAATGGTCTACCAGGGATAAACTGTGAACCAGCGATGGCAGGAGTCTTTCTTTTTCCCCGTCTGCATTTACCACTGAAGTTGGTAGAGGAAGCCGAGGTGAGAAAGCAACGGTCTGCACTGCACTTTACTGCACTTTAAGTCCTCAGGTTGCACCACAGTATGTGTCTGTCATATTTTAATTTATTAATGCTTTCTGATTTTGTGATTGATTTGGATCAGTAATGTTTATATTATATATATTCATGTTCAGTTAAAAAATGCCAAACACTAGATGTCATTTATAGAATTATAAAAGAAATTATGATGTTGTGTTGTGTTGTGATGTTTTCTGATGTTGCTTATTTATAACTGTAATATTTGTTTTTAGAAGTAAAATATTCTTTGGCTCATTTAAATTTTAATTATTATTAATTAAACCTGCAATTAAATGGTACAAAGCAAACCGATTAGGCCACTCATACTTTTATGTACTTGTGTTTCTATAAATATATATACACTGTGTATAGTTTTACTTTGACACCTGTTGAAATATAGAATCTAATGTCTCATTTCACAACAAACTGAGGAACAAGAAGAAGCATTATCTCTAAAATTTGAGTGAAAATCAATCATCAAGACATATTTAAGCAATAATTTAATGACTCAGAATTAAACAAAAACAACAAGTGCATAATCCAAACTTTCAGCAGGTCATAAACGAGGCCTTCATAGCTGAAAGAAATTGCTGTTCTCCCCATGAATTCCAGATGTTAGGACTGGAGGCAGATGTGTTTTACTGTCAGAAGCTACTGGAAGAAGAAGGTGTGTGTTTGGGGGCGGGCTGCGAGAACGGACAGGATGACCAAAACCACCACATCAGGTGAGAAGGAAAGCTCTTAGTGTGTTAGATTCTGCAGTGAACTTCAGTGTCTGTGTGTAGGTTGAGTTTTAGATCTTCAGAGTGAGGACTTTTTCGGGGAAGTGGGGACAGTTTTTGAAAGTGAGGGTATTCTGGTACGAGAGGACCTGTTTTGAAAGTGAGGAAAGTTTTGGAAATGACAGGCACTTATTGAAAGTATTAGAACATGAGGACATTTTTACGATGAGGACATCTTGAGAAAACCAGGATATTTGGTGAAAATCAGGACATTTTAGAGAGTGGGGCGCTTTCTGAAAAGAGTGTGGGGACATTTCTGGACATAAAGGTAATTTCTGGAAAGTTTAAAAAAAAATTAAGGAGGGTGTTTTGTAAAAAAAATTTGGGAAAGCGATAACTATGAAAGGTTTCGGGTTGAAGTCGTTACATTTTTATATCTATTTTAGTTAATATTTTGCCATGGTGAGGTCATGCTTGTGAAGCAGTGTCACAGCCTGTTTTCAGAGCTGCTGCACAAATACAGGCATTATCACCGTTATTATCTCATTCACCAGAGTGTGTCACCTGAGGGTATGTAGGTAACACTCCTGTCTGAGGGCTAGTAAAGGGATAACTCCTGGTAAACTCTAACACAAAAACAGTCTGAAGTCAGGTCATGTTCAGGGGCCACTTGCACAGAACACCTTAAGTGTTCTACTTCAGTAAAACACTTAAGGTTTAATTTCTCCTTAGCTGAGGGAGTTACTTAAGGGTGTTGCACAGAATCCCTTCAAATTGTTGGCAAATAGCTTGTGATACCTGTTCTCACGTTTTGTGCAACTATTTTTATTTTAAGGAAACTTTAACTCGGACTTTAAGGAAAATCTTAACTTAAGGTGTTTTGAGCAACTGGACCCAGCTTGAAGCAGAACATAAGTGTGTGCATGTTGATGCTGAGTTGTGTGTGTTTCTTCTTCCCTCTCAGGCTGTGTGTTTTGGCTCCTCCTGACACTCTGGAGGAGGTCTTGGCACGTCTGCGCTCTTTCCACCTGCGCCTGCTGTACAGGTTTCCCTGACGGAAATGTCAAGGACACACAGACTGTGGGAAAAAATACCGAAGCATGGTTTTCACAGTCGTCTCTCACTGACAATAACACTTTGTCTTTTACCTGCAATCTTATAAATGAACACTGTTATAAAGGTCATTTCCTGATCCTGAAAAGACCAATAATAAGAACAAAATTAGTTCTTGACAACATAGTGTTCCCATGTAAAAAATAATATAAAAACTGAAGATGTAAACCGTGTTGAAATCATTCAGTGTTTGAGTTACACTTCCATCCAGAATAAACCTCCATAAATCAGCTTATAAATATTGATAATAGAATAAGAGCATTCAGAACTTGACTTAGAATCAACAGGTTTTTAAATTTTCTTCAGTATCACATTAATCCAGTGACAGTTATCTGTACATCCATGGGTAACAGGAACTGCTAATAGCTAATTTGGCTGCTTTCAATGGAGCCAATTTGACAAAATGTAAATAAATATAGGCAAAAAAAAAGAAAGGGCCAGTATCGAGCTGTGGCTGTGATTATAAGAGCACATGTGATTATGCTTTTACAGGGTCTTTCTATCCTGGTGGCTCATTGATTCCCAAATAAATTTACTGTATTTATTAATTAATCCATTGCTATTTATTCATGTGTTTACTTTTGTAAATGTGATATTGTATAATTGTGACATGTAGTCACTTTAATTTAATTAAATCCAAAGAACTTTATTTATCCTCAGTGAGGCAATTCAAAGTCTGCGCATGCACAAACACATTTGCATGTTAACAGACTGTATGATTAAAAACTAAAAACAATACATACTGGACACATCTGTAATTTAAAGTTAGATAGTTTCCAGTAATTCATGTTTAGAGTATATGTATTTTTATTGAGATTGTGTGTATTTGACAATGAATTGTATAAAATGTGGTTTAAATTACTTTACATCATGTTGATTCTTAATGTATAATATAATAATGTATTAAATTTCGAAAACATCAATACAGTTTTAAAAAGATATAAATAAAAATTAAATCATATTTTGACAGTTCTGCAAGGTCACTTCTTTTCCTCAGCTTTTCTTCAGGTCTGATCCCAAACGTTTCATCAAATTATAGTAACATGTTTGTTTATTAACACCCCACCCCCTGTGTAGTGTATCTAAATATAAAATATCTTTCAAATATTTCCTTATATTTCTGTGTGCAGAGGGGTTATGTGAGGACAGGTGACACAGATGCAGTGTGGGATGTAGATTCCCAGGTCAAAGATTGGACTGTGTTTGTGTGTGTGAGCTCTGAATATTGAGTGTATTTCCAGAGTATAAAAGACATTCAACACTCAGACAGTCCACTCTGTGGACATCATGATGAAAGTGGTCCTAGTCCTGCTGTTTGCTGCCTGTGGTGAGTCTCTGTTGATTTAAACCCAGTCCACATCATTTAAAAAGGTTTCTTCCATTAATTTTCCCATTAAAGGTTTTGGGGTTTTTATTCATTTAATTCGAGGGTCTGAGGACAGAGATTTAAAACTCCAAGAAGCAAATTTGTGATTTGTAATATTGGGCTTTATGAATAAGATTTCACTTGACTTGACCCCAAAAGGTTCATAAATTTATAGTTCCATTTTTACAAGACTCAGCTGGACACAAACAGGAAGAAACAGTACATTTGTTGTGGACTCTTTCAGCGTGTGTGGCTCAGTAAAGGTGTACTTTGACACTGTTTGATGTATCTCAGTATCAGATCTGAGCTGTATCAGCCTTTGTAACGTCCACATCTCTCTGTGCTCCAGCTCACGGGTGTGGCACACCCACCCATGAGCCCGCCGTGAGCCGCGTGGTGAATGGGGAAGACGCTCGTCCCTACAGCTGGCCCTGGCAGGTGAGCCAGCCACATATTTTATTATCTCATATCTCTTAAAGTAGCTTTTAAATATGTCTGGTTGTTTTATATGGAAGCCGAGAAAAGCAAATATTTTTTATCCCGTTATGTCGAGATAACAGAGTTTTTTTTATGTTGAGATAATGGAATAATTACAGAATAATTATCTCGAGATAACGGAATAATTATCTTGTTTCCTGGAGATAACTGGATAATTATCCCATTATCTCGGGATAACTGAATAATTGTCTCGAGATAACGGGATAAAAAAGTTTCAGTTTCAATAGTTTTAGATAAGGGAAGACAATGTTAGAAATAAATGAGCAGGTCTGCTGCGTATACACTCATATCTCACAACAAGTATGTGATTTATTAAATGGTTTTAAGCAGATTGAATGACCTACTGTAAGTTATTTGCCTAATAAGATAAGTGGTATATCACTGTGTGTGTGTGCGTGTGTGTGTGTGTGTGTGTGTGTGTGTAGATCTCTCTGCAGTACCTCAGCGGCTCCACGTACCGACACACCTGTGGAGGAACTCTGCTCGCTCCCAACTGGGTCATGACCGCTGGACACTGCATCGGGTGAATCTCAGCTCACCGCTTGTTGTTTTATATCATGATGTGACAGGATGGTTTTATCTGAAGTGTGTGTGTGTGTGTGTGTGTGTGTGTGTCAGACCCCGTACCTACCGTGTGGTGCTGGGGGAGTATGACCTCACCAAGGAGACGGGCGATGAGCAGATCAGAGCCGTGGAGAGGATCATAGTTCACCCTCGCTGGGACGATAACTGCCTGTCTTGTGGGTAAGAATTCAAACTCCTCCATAGAGCTGTTTATTTAAAATGGAAGAAAGAGCTTGAGAAAATGTATACACAACCCAACTGCCACAGCAAATAATGTTTTGTACGACATGTAAGTGAACAAACAAATTTAAAGCTGCAGCAATTCACTTTTTGGCCACTTGGCGGCAGAGGGATTACAAAACAAGCAAAAAACCCGCACCTCTGATATACAGTATTATACCATTATAATGTTTTTTTTTCTTTTTTTTTTAATTCTTCCTTTCCCATCGATCCTTCTCTCTATCTTAATACATTCTTGTTATTTTCTTCTTGCTTAGTAACGACGTTGCGATGATCAAACTGGCGTCCCCTGTCGTTCTGAACGACAAGGTGCAGCCTTCCTGCGTGCCAGAGAGCGGGGAGATCCTCCCTCACAACTACCCCTGCTACATCACCGGCTGGGGGAGACTCTACAGTGAGTGTTTGTGACGTTAGCGGCACGCTGATTCTCATCTGCACATCTGTTGGGACATGCTGACCGTATGCTACTTGCAGCACGCTTTCCTGTTTGGTTGTGTTGTGTGTGTTTGCAGTGCGTGTGTTTTGATGTTTTCTGAATGTGATGTGTTTTCTTAAGTTGTAGTGCATTGAGCTCTCAGGGTCACAGTAATTTACGCCAGACTGATATTCAGATTTTAAGACCATGTTGACATAAGAATTAAGAAAACAAAGCAAAATTATATCAAACCATTTTTTTTCTCATTTATACTTTTAATCCTTACTTTTTAAACACCATTGATTTCACTCATTCTTGCTTGTGTGTGGATAAAATAAACAAGATGTGTGTTAATGAATGCGCTTTAGAGGTGCTGGTAGGCTGATTGTTAAACTTAGGATAGTGCCAGGCTAGCTATTTCCCCCTGTTTCCAGTCTTTATGCTTAGCTAAGCTAAACAGTCTTCTGGCTATAGACTGATTTCCTGTACAGACATCAGAGTTGTATCAATTTCCTCATCTAACTCTTAGCAAGAAAATGAATTATATTGTCCTTCCTTTCCTCCTCTAAATACCCATGAGCACAGTCTGCCCCTGTACTGAAGTATTTTAACCAATATTTGTATTATTTGCATCTGAATTTTTCGGTTTCATTAATTTTTTCTTAAACAACCATGTCCCTCCTGCAGGCGGTGGTCCATTGCCTCCAAGCTCCAGCAGGCTCTTCTTCCTGTGGTCGGCCACAGCGTCTGCAGCAGCAGCAGCTGGTGGGGGGGCAACTGTGAAGACCACCATGATCTGCGGCGGCGGTGACATCCGCTCTGGCTGCCACGTACGCAGCTTTCCTTTAATCGAGTCATCGCAACACAAGCAGGTTCTCGTCGTATCGAGTCTTCACTTGACCTCTGTCTGTCTCTACAGGGAGACTCG